CGTTACTGAGAATTCGTTTGATTCGATAAGGGATTAAAAAAACATTTTGCACTTTCCTACTCTTTTTATCTCCCTAAATATTTGTCTTCATTGCTTGTTCTGTTGCAAGGACGTCAAACCTCCAGGGAAAACAGAACAAAATGGTTTTAGGTTATTTGAGTGTATGTTAGTTTGGTTTGGTTTTATTGTGTTTCTTGTGTTACCGGAGGCAGGGTATGTTGGTGTACTGCCTTCTTGTAATACAGCGAATCTGATGCCGAATTTATGGTATGATTCACTTGAATACAATACCAAATGCACACAGGACAGCACTATGTCCGGTCACAATATACCAACAACGTGTGACCCAGTTGTTGCTGTAACATTAAAGGCACAACGCTAAGCGAGGAATAACAACTATGCTTTGTATAAGTACTTAGTACTTGTTTCCGAATCGTTGTTGATTATATATTGAAAATATAATGTATTGTATATTACCAGAAATAAATACAGTTTAAACTAGCTGTCCTTTTAAAAAATACTTTCGTTTATCCCGGCTAACATCCTTCAACAATTAAAGCCAAACGTGAGGTATTGGCAAGCAAAGTTCTAGGAAACAACACGTAATTATAATTAGAGACAAATACAAATATCCAAAATATATTGGAATTGGTGCGACGTATTATTTTGGTCACTTTTGTATCGCAGAGGCATAAAAACCAAACGCGGGATTCAAATTGAATTGACACGCCGCCATCAAAACGAATAACAATTGTGGCAAAGGCTATATGAATGCATGTTGTTTAGTTTTGTTGTTTTTTCCTTCATCATTGACCCTGCAGGTAGGGCGTAAGAATTGAACCTGCTGCCCCCAATTGCATGATCGTAAGAGGCGACTAAATTTGGGACCTTATCTCTTCTCTCCTTTCTAAATAACTTTCTTCTTCCTAATGTCTCCCTTGACAATGCCTCACTTTTGGCCATTTGTTGAGCGTTCGCCCCTGTGAGGAAGGCTTTGGGTTCTGTCCCCTGGCCGAGACATACCAAAGTCTTTAAAAATGGTAGTTTCTACTCCTGCTTAACGCTCAGCAAATTAGGAGTGGGACGACTGGTTCGCCCGTTGTCAGTATAATGTGACCGGGTGGGGCGTCCTGCTGGGTGTCTTCGGCAGAATGTTTCAGTGAGGTAGCACTATAAAGTCGGCATCAGTTTCGCGCTATCACAAGGAGACAAACACGAACATATCGCAGCCTCCCAAAATACACACACATAAACTACACGCATGCATCTTGCACACAGGGGAGGCCGTCCTTAAATGACCTTAGCTGTTAATAGGACGTTAAACAAAATCAAACAAACAAACAAACAAATCCTTCATCATTTGATTTGAATCCTAATTATGTTTACTGTAAATTGTACATTCCAAGCCGAATAAACGGAAGGACACACTTTGCCTTTATCCTTTAAGATTACGACATTTATGTGAAACACCATCAGCGTGTAATCGATATATAGTCGTTGTGTTTTGTATGAAAACAGTGGCAATAAACAACTTGTCCTGCAACGACTGATGTTGCATAAGTTTATAAATGTATACCTACATATGTACAGCAGGTCACGAAGTGTGAGGAATTATTTGTTTTATGTAATTTGTTTCATATTTTCTTGCCTCGATTAATCTTCCAAAGTACACTTCCTCTCATGTTCGTTGTGCCGTCATTTTCACACTTGTAGGATAACATAATTAGTTACTTCATGTCACAGTAGAAAATGGACAAACGTTTGGGTGTTCCCAAACCTCCAAGGAATATGTAAAGGATGAAAAATGCAAATCATTGACACAAAAAAAATCATACATTGTAAACAAGCAAACTATTGGTTGATATTCAGAAAAAAATGAAAGGTCGAAATAAAACTCGCATTTCATGACCTACATTTTAGGATTGATAAGTATGACAGGTGCCTTGTTTGGTATTTGACTTCTTAATGGGAGCTTGTGTCTAAATTACTGATGACGACAGAGTTATACATGTAGAGTAGAACGTAAAGAGGCAGTGAAAAATGTTTGTATTTCAGCGTTGTTAAAGAAGGACACAAATTAATATCCAACCCTTGCCATTTTTTGTAAGATAGCTTTTCATCATCATCGTTTTTGCTTGGTGAAATGTCCCAAGGATGTTGGGGTTGGGGTTAGCCAACAATTGCAACTGACATTAGAAACTGTTTTGTTTTAGCATGACAATAACTTGGTTATAATTAACAACAATGTTTTAAGAGTAAACATTTAGGCTAGAGTTTGATTCGAACCCTTGCACTTCCGATTTCTAATATCGCTCTAACCGATTGAGCTTGTTGGTCAACAGAGGAGCACTGGCCAAACGATATTAAGGGTTTAAATGTAAACGCGTACGAGACAAATACAGCTCATTTGAACCGAGATTAATTGAGATGATACTGTTTTTCAAATTTAAGGGGTTTGGTTTGGTTTAATTTTGTTTAACGTCCTATTAAGATTTAGGAGGGGGGGGGTCCATCTCTCATTTATCTTTGTCTGTCACAAGTCTATTAATAGCTTTAACATTACTTAATCTAGCTTGAGGGTCGCATTTAGGTAAAATAAGTACCGGGCACTTCAAGCGTTCAGATAAATACAGCACATTTGAGCTGAGATCAATTTACATGTTATGGTTTTTTCAGGTTTAAGGGGAGTTCAATCTCTCATTCCTCTTTGTTACTCACCGGTCTATTAATATCTTAAATATTCTTAATCAAGTTAAAGGGTCCCATTTATTGTAAAAAGAGTACCGGATATCTCAAGCGTTTAAGATAAATACAGCCCATTTGAGCCTAGATTAATTTACATGTTACTGTTTTTCAGATTAAATGCATCAAAATGAAGGCGTCTAGCTTGTGATACATAACTTAAATATCTCTTTTATTTTTCTAATACACTTTCTGTTATGCACAAATGTACTTTCTGTTATGCACAACCATAATCCGGAGTTTTCGAAAAGTTTTAATATGCCTCATTGTCCCTTAATGGGCCATCTATTTGTGATTGATTCGGTTTGATGTTTTTACCACTTGTTTTGTTGTTGGTATTTTGGTATATCCCAGCCTGGGAACACAAACTATAATTGTCTACCCCTCTTGGGCGAACGCTCAACACTAAAGCCAAGAATGAGGTATTGCCATGTAAGGCACTAAGAAACAACAGGTTTACCGGAAGTAGAGAGCAAATATAGCTTGTGGTTTCTTAGCGGCCCCGATTCTGCAGGGAGCCCCACATAAGTCGCATTTTACAACATGTAGTTGGATACAGCAGGCCTGTTCTCAAATCATAAGTTACACATTCCATCCCAAAACACAAACATGTGTTGATTATATCTATTCTACCACATGGATATTTCCTAATGGTGCTTCAATTTTACGAGCCAAGGCAAAAGCCATTGACCTCGCTTTAGGTATTAATGATAAGAAAGTATTCCAAAGGGCTACTTATACCCTTATTCGCTTTTGGTTCTCCTGAGTTTTAAACATCATTATTTAAAACACTAGTCTGAGTCTGCTAATTAGAACTAATTTTATTTCTAGAACACATGTTGTTATCCTTTCCTGATAACCAGGTCATGATTTAATCTATGAGAATGAACAAGCTGATAAGGCGACGAAATGTGCGCTTACGCAACCCCAACCGGTATGAAAATACCACATTCAGATTGCAAACCATTTATTGATTCATTTAACACATAAATGGTAACAACGATGAGCGGAGTGTGATAAACGTCCAACCTTTGCTAAGAATAAACGATGTCATTATCATGGGAACAATAGGCAAGAGTGTGTAGTTTTGGCCCGAATAAGAACGGGACAAGCATACGTTACTCATTGCACTTGCTTTAGGGTGGGGAACAACCTTATTATATCGCGCACTGCATTCGCTGTTGAACATTTCATTGTTAAATGTAGTGATCTGAAACAGGTTCGTGATATTTATTACAATATACAAAACATGGATAAAAAAAACTTTAAACAGATCCCCGTGACAACCATTATTACGTGCGTACAGGAAAAAGGCCTGTCTATATTTATGTAACATTTTATCCTATAAATTTAGATACGCATACAAATATGTTTTTTATGGCGCTTTAGGCCAAAAATGACCTTTTTGTGTCGATTGTCGTTAAGGCTTACCAAACAAATGAAACCCAACCACGTTTAAATGTTATCTTGAATTTTGTTCATTGCATATACCTCAATATAATTTAGATCATCCATTTACGGATATCGGGCTGATTTTTTTACTTCATTTACAGACATTTTTTCTGGTGATGTCCCGTTTTCGTTTCACCAACAAACCACACACGGCTGATGTCGCTAATCTGTCCGATTAGATTAAGACATTATACGTTTTACGTCACTCAACAAAACTAATTCGTCTAAGACAAATAACACACTGCCAACAAGTTTATCTTATCAATACGGCACTATAATGTATAAGAGCGTTGCACGTGTTGGTTTTAATCAGAACATTACCCACGCACGCGTTTGGCTAATTGTCTCATTTAAACATGGTTATAAACCAAATAAACACGTCGGTACATTGCCGATGGGGTTAAATTATGAATAATTTTACATCACAGACCGTAGGTTTTACTGGCAGACTGACACAAAAAACAAGACGGCCAAGAAGAATGAATACAAATTGAACCAACTGTTCCCGCTTAAACAAACAATTGAGTATCCCTACGTAAATATTCAGTGAAACCCGAATCTCGTCAATAACTTTTGGTACACAAATACATAAAACACGATTAGTATAAAACTTCAGATAAACGATATAAGTGGCAAATCCGGACAAAACTGCGTTTAACTGTATCACGAATGGTTAGGACTTAAAACATTTCCCAATGTAATTCATTGGCAAATGTGTTAAGTCCTAACCATTCGTGATACAGTTAAACGCAGTTTTGTCCGGATTCACCAAAATTAAACAAACAAATAATTAAAAATATTCTTACCAATTAGAAACGATTTTCATTTAAATCCGTGTTAAAATATCCAGGTCCGTCGCCTCCTACTCATCACCCACACCTGTGGTGTTTTTACCTGTCCAAGGTAATTATGATAACTGTGTCTTTCATGATCGCCCATCATAGTCATTGTCGTCACCGTGCTAGTGTATTTCAGAGGTGACGGATCGTCCCTGCTGACGTACATGACAGCCCCGGGCCATAAATTGCCACACTTCTGTGGTATACAACTGTCAGTTATGTCAGTCTGGTTGGGGCCAGATAGAATCCCACAGATAAAGAATAAGCTAATTCAAATCAATCCAAGTTCCCGCTACTAGTATATACTAGAATATAACCAAGTAGTGAATACAGTGTAGAAGCATTTATTTTCGTAGGGTTAAAATTTCGTGGTTTTCATATACTAGCCTGTTTCGTGGATATTATATTTCGCTGATTTCTGATTTTCCCCTATCCATATCATACCTAATTTATGTTTTCGTGGGGATTTGATTTCGTGGTTTTTATCCACGAAATAAACGGAATTTAATGTCCCACGAAATTTTTTGATTTTACAGTAAATAATTTAGACAGCACGAAAATCGGCTGTTTTGTAGTTGAAAGTTTCAGGTAAAAAGTAAAGCAGTATTATTAAATACATTACTTTCTTTTTTGCTTTTTGGGTGTTTGACGTCCTCGAACACCCAGAGACACGTAAGGACTGAAACCTAGGGACCACCGGAAAGAGAAAGTATAAATGTAAAATGACTGGAAAGATAGGATACGAAAAAAATGTCCCCAGTGTTACAGTGGGGGCAGCAGATAATAATTTGTCTGTTCCATGTCCCTTTGTAGAAGACACGGTCAAAAACCACTAATTCTGTCTATTTTCGGTTTCCTAGATGTTGTTCCTAAAAATGGAATAAAAAGAGGAAAGTATCCCCGATTCTGCAGGGGTATTTCAACCTCACAAGTCAGAAAGAAAGAAAAAAAGAAAAAAAATTCTGCGTTAGCCTGATGCATACCGAACTTAACACCAAATAACTCCGTTTAAAATGGCGAATATCCAGAACCAAAATTGTTGAAGATTTTTTATTCATATCTCTGACAAAATATCAAAAAGACTCGTTTGTTATTCAAACGAGAAGATTGTTTTATATATTGACAAGCTATATATTAGCATTCGTAATGACACGATTAGCATTCGTAATGACACGACAAGAAAATTATCATGACCCATATTTGCCCTTTCAAGGTAATTTCGTGTTTTTAGATAATTGAATATGATGACAACTTATCACAGCGAGAACTATGCCTACTGTCATGTCTAACATACGCGGTGTATGAGCTGCTTGACCCCTTATAACCCTGTCACTGGTGGACCATATCATATCAACACTTGGCTGTACATGTGTGACCTGTGTTGATCATGTCATAAGCAATCATTCATTACGGATAAAGAACATCTTTGTCATTCACTGACCTTATACCATAATCCAATGATAACTTTAATACATATAATAATAATAATAATAATAAATCATTTTATTCAAGTGTCGCATATTGATCTACATATAAAACAGATAAAATGTACAAAAAATTAGATCAATATCCAGCCAAAAGTTAATCGACTTATGAGACACTAAAAAGACTGAAAATGTACATTAAAAACAGTTGTCAATTTTTGAAAAAAGCTCAATATTTGTCAGCTTATTTTAGCTTATTATACATTATAACCACACATTCCTGTCAAAGCCAGTTTGACTTATGATACTTGATACATGTGCAGTGGTGGGTAAATAAATAAAATAAATAAATATACAATATTTGATATAGCGCCCTATCTAGCGAGAATAAGCAATTCTAAATCGCTTTACAGTACATAGATATACAACTCATACAATCAATACAATGTTGATGAATTCGCAAGAGCTGCTTATCAGGCGCTAATTACTAGTCCTATGTCACCTGGCTAATATCTCCCTATGTTTGTACATGTATGCCTGTGTGTGTGCTGGAGATGTATTGTGTTCTGTTTGTAGTGGGACCGTGCTTCTAACGGTATCACGTATAGTGCCACCTCACTTGAATGCTACAGCACAGATACCGCAACATCCACCCCAGACCGTTTTATAATTCACTTGGTTTTTATACGCCCGTCGAAGACGGGGACGTATTATGTTATCACGTGAGCGGGCGGGCGGGCATGCGAACGATGTCCGCTCGATATCTCAAGTAATTATTAACGGATTAACTTCAAACTTCACCACAAGGTTAATTACCAGGAAAGCTCGGACAAGTTCGATAACCGCCATTATCCGACCATAATTTGTGGAGTTATGCCCCTTTATGGACTTGCCGAAACAGTGTGCGCTCGATATCTCAAGTAAATATTAACGGCTTAACTTCAAACTTCACAACTTGATCTACCAGTTATGTTGAATGATTTCTCTTTCAATATCAATTACTCACAAATACTTCATATATTTCAATCATACAAACAACTGCTCATTCAATGTGTGACGGGCGTATTATATACCGCTCGCGGTAACCTTGTTTGGAGTTGTGTGAGCAGGAGAAAACACTTTCTCTAAACATTCCATGTGTACGACGACTTTTGGAATCGAACCCCGATCGCCTGCGTGGAAGGCCGGAGTGTTAACCACTCGACCAATCCGCCCATGGATCCAGAATTTAGTGATATGAGGGGTACAAGTGTTGAAGTCGTGTTGAGGTTGAGCATGAAAGTTTTCACATGAGGTTGGAGTTAGAGTTATTTCACCATATCATACCACATTTTATTAAGAATAGTTGAGATGTAATAAGGGGTTAGACAATATATCAAGAGATATGTCTGAAAGAAATAATGACAGAAAAACGACCAAAGTAAATCTGCTGCACTCATTGCAATATTTGGGGATCTTAATATTTCTATCTACTTTTACCTACCATTTGTTTCCTAGCGCCTTGCCTGGCGATACCTATAATTGGCTTTCATATTGAATTTTGAAGCTAGCAAGGCAATGGGTTCTACCCCCATGGCGTGATATACCAAAGTCCTTAAAATGGTAGTCACAATTGCCTGCTTGAAGTTTCAAAATTAGGAAAATGGCAACAACTGGGTCAACAGTTTTCAGTATAATGTGACAGGGCGGAATGCTGATGGATGAAGCACTTTTTAGGCGGCATAAGAGCAACGCTGTCGTAAGTAGGCAATGCCGCCAACATACCCTGCCTTAATTCAGTACACATACACACATGCAAGCGCACACATGAAGGCACGCCCGTAAATTACCTTAGCTGTCAATATGACATAAAACCCTATAAAATCAAACCATCGTGTTGTGTTAACCGACTTAGAAAAGAAACTTAATTTCACTTCCTTCTAAAGTTGTACGGTAGCTTCAAAATAATAACATACCGCTACTGGTGGCTTAGTTTGTGATTCACTTCAATACGATATACATACCCTAAAGGACACTTTGCTTAACGATCCTGAAACGTCAGTATAATGGGCACAGTCTTATTTAAGGCGATCACCGCCTTTTCCGCATCCGGGTTATCCCCTTCCAGATATAATTATATAAGTAATGTTTTCGATTTTTTTTCGCTATTTGCAAATTATGATAAAAGCAGTTAAAATCAGTAGAACTCCAAACAAGAACAGAGACGAGAGGGTCGCCAGCTAAGTCATCTGTATGAACCAATACTGACCTAAACGGAAGAGGGGCTAGATCTTCACCCGACCAGTCCCGTGTCGAATGAAATATGAAATTTACAAATTCGTCACATTGTTGTACAGGTAAACAATACAAATATCTCACTAGGTCATAGCTTGGTATAGGGATCAGTCGGTTATGAAACATTACGACACGTTTAATACGAACATTGGTAAAAAAAAAAATCAAAGTGATGAGTCTTTTTGAGATGCATAAACCATGGGTCCAACAATTGGTTTTAGTGTGCGCCGTAAGGAGGCCATTGTTTGGATAATTTTACTTTGAACACAGTGGTTGCAGAAAGGGGCCACGGTAGTCTAGCGGTAAGACGCCGGGCTCGTGACCCAAGGGTTGCGGGTTCAATCACGGCACGGCACTGTGGTTTATCTTTGAACAAGGTACTGTACTCCGCTTGTTTCAGTCTTCTCATCTGTAAACGAGTACGTGTTGGACAGTGCTGGAATTGTTGCATGCTAGCTGTTAGCGCCGAAATGGCTCCCCAGGGAGTTTGGTTATTGGCTGGTTGCAAAGGCCCATTAACTACGAATACTAATTTGTGAACCGCGTTGAGACGACTCACGACCTAGGTTGTGATAAAACCTCGAATTATTACATACAACTGTAGGTTCCTGTCGAGACGCTACCGTTTCTTAGCTGTCAATGTATATAATCTGACAATCGATAGTCACCGATCGGTACGTAACATTAAACGCGATTCTGACATAGTGTACAGCTGACCAGTACATCACACTTAAGCAGTATGTCACGGTAATGCAATCTTTATTGCTTCTCATACCTGTAGCCTCGACCTCGCTACTGACCAGGTGTGACCTATACGACCACGCAGGTTTATTATCACCTGCATTGCCCCTTTTCTTTATACCTGGTTATACACAGTACAGGTTACACATCTTGTGATTAGCTGTCAATCATCTCTTATGTAATCTCAATGGAGTGTCGACGTCGATTGAAACATGCGTATGCGATGATAATTAAGTCGGTATGGAGGCAATTTATTCATCAGTGCTGCATAATTCAAGATTGCAGCCTCATGTTAAAAAGTCCACGACGGCTTGCAATTTGGCATTTTCATAGATAAGTACGATTGCCCATATCAGCCATGTCAAAATACACTTATGCAATTCAATTTTGTCGGAGGGTTGTTGACATGTGTTGTCAGTCACTACAAAAGCAGTTGGATATTGTCATTGTGTGACAATTATTTTTGTCAAATTCTGCTTTGCTTTCTATGTTTTTGACAACGCTGTGTTGGCCCGTATAAGCCAGGCTTCGGTATCACAAACATTTTCTCAAATCTCAAGCTCAAAACTTAAGTTTGAACTCAGCTGAGATTTACCGCCAAATGGGTATCACAAAGCTGGTAAAACTTAAGCTCGGCTGGTTAAACTAAAGCTCAGCCGAGCTTGCCGACGTAAAGTTCCGCTGAACACTTTTCGAGCTTTGCACAAGTAATTTACATTCCTCTTAATAACACAAGGCTGCGTGATGGAGGAACACAGGTGGTCTTTACACACAAACAGACCCTCCCCTTGATCTTTAATTGTTTCCCCTTCTCACATATTTTGATAATAAATGTCCTAACTGTGGTTTGAGACTCATTTGGTTGTAGTCAATCGTTGAATTATGGAGGAAGCCTAGTATTATCAAGAGGAATGTTAATTGCCCTACTTGGGGGACACAAATGCGACCAAAATAAATCTGCTCCACCCATTGCAATATTTGGTATCTTTATATTTCTCTCTACTTCTAAATACTTTTTTTTCTAGCACCTTGCTTCGCAATACCTCACTTTTTGGCTTTGTTGTTGAACGTTCGACCAGGTGAGGAAGGCAATGGGTTTTGTCCCCAGGCCGGGACATACCAAAGTCCTTAAAAATAGTAGTTGTTATTCCCTGCTTAACGTTCATCATTTAGGGGAATGGCAGCAACTGGTTCACCCGTTGTCAGTATAATGTGNTTACGCCCTTCAGCATGGTATTTCAATGAGGTAGCACTACAAAGCCGGCATCAGATCCGCGCTATCACAAGGAGGGAAATACACCAACATACCTTTTTTCTGGTACGCATGCATACATACATATATAACACACAGCAAAGGCCTTCTTTTATTCCGAATGATTCAGCTCCTTGGTTTGGATTTCAAATAGGGTGCCCCAGGCATCAGATACCCTTGTACAGTTGTTGAGAACGTCAATGTCAGTTTTTCTGAAGTTATCATTTAAATCTTCGTAGTACTTTTCATGGAAATTCAGCCGTGGTCTATACATGGTTTCAGGATTTGATAATGTGTAGGCCACAAATTCAAATGCAAGTATCAAAAATGGTCGCTTTTGTCGATGCTAGGGTTATAACTAAGATTGGCCACCATGCCTTCCTCATTTGTAAAGATCAGGTCCAGAGTGTTGCTAGTTTTGTCTTCTCTATAGCGAGTTACGTCTGTGACATGTTGGTATAGATAGCAGTCATTGGTTTTCATAAACAAAATCTATGAGCAGGGTGGTCGATGTTTACATTCTGTACATTCAAATCAATTTGTTTATGTTGAAGTCGTTCAAAACTGCTGATTGGTGATGGGAGTAACCGGCTTCGTAGATTCTATCAAACAGTTCCAGTTATAGCTCGTTTATTTGGGTTTCTATAATTGCAGCATATAAATAATTGATATGTCTAAGTTTGTTAAATTGATGACAATATGCTACATAATTATCAATATGTATGATTTCAGTTTGGCCCAAGGTAATTTTTAATATAAATCGCCACTTCCCGTTTCATCCATTTGGTAGGGTGTTCCGTCTTAAGCATGTATGGAAGCCTTGAAGCAGTTTTCAGGTAAGTCGGATTGGTTCTTCCCTATGTGTTCTTCTAGCTCTACTTTTTTGACGGTGTTGGTACATCACAGATGGTATACCAAATTTACAAGCTTTGTGTAGTTGATATTATTTGAGAGTTGGCAGTTGGATAAAAAGTGGTAAAATTATCTTCCTATACCGGGATGCTGTTTTCCTTTTAAACCATGCTCATCACCAGCTTGATCGGTATCTGAGGTTACCGCATAGACCATTGTTTAGTCTCTGTCAACGCCTTCCTTGGCAAATAGGCGGGAAGCATTGAGTGTTGCATTGTCATATACTGTAAAATCAGATATTTTCGTGGGGCTCGAACATCTTGGTTTCCCAACAAAACACCATATAGTGAGTATATGAATGTGTCGATTACGAGTACCCACTCAACCGGAAAATTGCTTTATGCCAAACTTCGTGAACCAATGAATTCGTGGATGAAGATTACCCACGAAATCAACGATATTACAACACGAAAATTAGAGATTTTACTGTGCATCTGTTGTGACAATGCTCCAGTAGGATCCATGTCCGTTGATTGGTTTAGTTTAGTTTAGTATTGTTTAACGTCCTATCAACAGCTATGGTCATTTAAGGACGGCCTCCCCTGTGTGTAGTGTATGCGTGTGTGTTTTGGGAGGCTGTGTTTGTCTCCTTGTGATAGCGCGGAACTGATGCCGACTTTATAGTGCTACATTCTCTACTGTACCTCACTGAAACATACTGCCGAAGACACCCAGCAGGACCCGGTCACATTATATTGACAACGGGCAAACCAGTCGTCCCACTCCTTAATTGCTGAGCTTAATGTCCGTTGATTGGACTGGACAGGTAGAGGGATGGCGAAAGTTGATTTTGGTTGCCGTGTTGGTCAGCTATAGTATATGCGATATGAATGTCATCCAGAGACGACAAATTCAACATATGAAAACAGGTAACGTTTTCCATGCCGAATTCCAGTGAGATACTCTTATTGACTATGGCCAGGGGAAGGTGATGTTTAGGATTGCTCCGTCAATGAGTAAATGAGTCAGTGCTATCAAACATCACAATAGCAATTGCATAACGTCATACAATGATGACGTCAACGATTGAGCCATGAAAGTGTTAACAAATATGAAATATTCCATATAATCTGCATGGTAAGGGTTGTGTTGTGGAAATGTCATACAGTGAAAAATATTCAAGACAACATATTAAAGTCCTCATCTCCTCCCTAATGTTATAATTAGATTTGGTTTTAGCTTTCAAGTGTTTTTAGTCTAGAATTGATTTCTTCGCATTTAGAGGAGACCCGGGACAAGTTCGGCCCATTTTTATTAAAGTCGTGCTGGACATTATTGCATTAGTTGAAATGTATGTGAATATTTCACGGAACAGGTCAAAGTATTGCAAGGAAATTCATAGTCCCCCACCGGCAATGACTTCTATATTAAATAAACAGTACACTTATGTCAGTATGTACCTACTGTTAGGAAAGTATCCTGATACATTCTTCTTGCATTCTTCCATCCCAAGATGTCCTTGTACACCAAATCTGGTTACTCCAGGTGAAATAGTATAGAAAATATGCCCGGACAAACATTTACAAAAGTAAAGGTCAAGTCATGCATTGTAGGTCACAGTGTCCTAGTTCTTGCACTCGGCACTCCGCCATCTCAAGATGTCTTTGTACACCAATTGTCTCTAGTGTAATACAACCATACGAAAGACAATGCAAGGCTTGAATAAATACATCATGCAAATCAGTCCTTGTGTTACAAAAGTAGCAATACTGTTTACCAAAAGTTTTCAAACCCAGAAAGAAATGTGGTTATAATTTCTTTCTATTCTCCACTTTTTATAATTGAATTTAATTGAGTTATTCCGTCAATAAGGTCAATAAGGTCTCCAAAGTTGTGAATATTGGAGGTGTCCGGACTTATGTAACGCAAAATTAGTAGATATTCAAATAATTGCACCTATCTTCAAATAAAGATAGGTACAATTCAATTGAAGATAGGTATAATTCAATTGAAGATAGGTTCAATTCAATTGAAGATAGGTTCAATTCAATTGAACATACATTGTCGGTACAATTCAATTGAAGATAGGTACAATTCAATTAAAGATAGGTTCAAATATGACGAACTAACATATCTTCAATTGAATTATTGGGTTACCTAGAAAAGAAATCGCGATAACAGTTAATGGATCCGCATTTGAATAAATTATTAATCATATTTATCAAAACCAATTGCTGGATTTTATGTTTTTCTCTATGTTTAAGTATTAAAAAAAACAGAGAGAAAATATACATTTCTTTAAGATACGTAAATGTATACGTCTCTGATTTTTAAGTGGTTCTTATGATAGTCATTTGAAATAAGGAAAATTTCCTTAAGGCAGAGGTCTATAGGCCTAAAATGGTCGTGTACGTCTCTGTTATAGAACTCTCGCAATGTACAAGCGGCAGATTGAGTGAGGGGAAGAAACTCTTGACATTCTAGATAAATCTTTTGTACTGGAGGTAAAATAACGAAGTCCAAATAATGTGCGCGAATTATGTCAGCTGAGAAGGAAAAGTTGGAGCAGGCTTTCAATATATGAAGAAAGTAAGTAAATGTTTATCACACTGTTTTGACATTCTCATAAGGTTTGAATCTGCGTTATGCATTGTCTTTTTCCGCTGTCAAGCAAAACAAACCGGAAAAGCTAAGAGAAGATCACGAAATTTGGTATGTAACCTACGTACCGTCGTACGTACGTACTCCAACAATGTTAGAGGTTTTACACGGCGAAAAACTTTTGACTATCTATCTATCTATCTTTATATTCTGCAACACCCTATTTCGAGTATTATGTGCAGCGTGCGCGTCTGTGCATGTTAAAAGGTATTGTGTGGTGACCGAGATAGAAATGATAAAGTGCGGACTGGTGCATGCATAAGGGAGAGAGAGAGGAGAGAAAGCAAAGTGTGATGAGAGAGAGTTTAGACCTGCTACTGCCCATACAAGGGCATATGTTATGGAACCTCTAGGATGTTGATAGCTCCTGTTGTACAACATAGCGAATCTATTATGGACTTTTGGTCGGGGTGTGAGGGAGGGTGTGTGTGATAATAACAGTTTGAAGATTGTTTACCTAATATATAGTAACATACACTCAAACTGAGCTGTATTTGGAAAGAGTTCTGATTCGGTGTTGGTCATATCAACTCTGGCCACCTTTAGGAACTCTTTCCAATACAGAGCCAGAAATAGTGTATTTGGGTAGGTGAACTATGATGACAGGCGCCATGGCAAAATCATATCCGATAGAAAAAAGGCCGACCAGCGGCCTCTCATGTTATGGGAGTAGTATGTAACAGCGTTATGACTAAAGTGATGAAATAATTAAACCAATCAGTTTTTCCTCCCATAAAACGATATGTTCCATAAAACTGTCCATATAATTTGAAAATCTTATAAACTTGGACAAAATCTAATCGAAGCAAGCACCTGTAAACAAACACCATACTCCTATAACATAGGAGCCTGGTGTGGGACATCTCTATATATGTTTGATAGGTATATATACTCCACAGAGACCAAACTGGCTTTAATGGGGGCAATGTATCTGTCAAAATGTCTAAGTCTGGTGTCGGGGTCGGAGGAAACTCAGGCTAGTCGGCTGTATATATATATGTGTGCCGTTGATGCTTGTCAAAACTGAAAGTATCTCGCTGTGTTAAACTTATAAAAATGTTGGAGAACTTACACTGTTGACATTTATGAGAGCAAAAGACAGTGATCATGCTAGCTATGGACTAAATATCCCTTCCAATAAAATATAAAATGTGGGACCTTGATGAAACAAGACAACATATATGTAAAAGATATGCATTGATTATGTTGCCTTACAAGCATCAGCTGTAGGGAATCTCCCTTTGGCTCAGCGGTAGAGCATCAAGCTGGAGAGCCAAGGGTCACAGGTTTGAGCCCCAGCGATGGCGCTATCTTTATCAATATTCCTCGTCCTACTACATCTATGCTGTATTTATTTTATACTTATAACAAAGGTCATTATTTTTTCAATGCCTCCAGTATGGGTTGAATCTGAGACCTCTGGTTTACTTATAGTCTTATTTCTGCTTTACCGAATGAGCTAAAGAGAAATCTCCATAACCAAGATGGTAGGCACCAGCTTTTCTGATACTTTGCTGATTTTAGCCTTGTTGTCAGTTCGCACTTGTCTTGAGGCTTGGTGGTGTTTTCATCGTCCGAATGTGTCAATGATATTGGCCTCCTCCACCTGCTAGTATATGTTACCACTGTGATACAAATCATTAAAGGCAACTGCATCTGGTAGCTCGATACCCACCCTATGTTTTTAATATCTAAAAATATGAAATGGTTCACCCTACCCTACTATGATATTAGTTGGGCTACGTAGAGACTCAAATGACTTTTCATATTTTACATATCAGATGTAGATGCCTGTGATCAAATATAAATTTTAGATATATCTAGTAAACTATAATGATTAGGCAAGTTGTGGTATAATTTAATAATTGATTTACATTCAGTTTGCTTGTGTAAAAGATGTGGATTAATTAGGTTGCCTTACAAGCATCAGCTGTGGGGAACCTCCCTTTAGCTCAGTGGTAGAGCGCCCAACTAGGATCCTGCAGATCGAGGGTTTGATCCCCGATGGAAGCAAACTATTCTCTTTCCTATTACACTTGTACAAGTATGAAATTACCTGAATCTTTGTTATAACATACAAATGTATTTACAGATATGGAGAAGTGTATTGATGCAGAGCCGAGTACCAGCGAAGTTGATGCACACAGTGACCATGGTGATCCTGACAAATTCAACCTCCAGAGAAAGATATTTGTGGGAAATATAAGCTACAGGGTTAGAGCCATCATTTTTATTATAACTTTATATATATTCAAATGGCAAAGGTCACTTTAGGTGGTCCGGCCCCTGATGGCTTTGTTTGTATTGATCTCTAAAACAATTTTATTAGGAAATACTTTGAAACAGATTTCACTGTCCTCCTTTAAAGTGTGTAAAATTAAAGTTTATACATTGTAATATGAAATGTGAAAAAAGAGGTTTTCTATACATCTTGGTGATGATTTCTAGATTAAACAGGTTTTAATCAATAGGATGTTAAACAAAATAAAACCAAACCTTGTGAGTCAATTACATTAAAAAGGAGTGCCTGTCAAGCTTGATATTGATTTGTAAACATTGACCTTGGCAGGTAAAGCAGCACCAGCTGAGCAAGCATTTCAGCCAGTTTGGAGCCGTGGACTACTGCTACCTCGTTAAAGATCACCTCAAGAAATGGTCCCGGGGGTAGGTATAATGTTCATACTGTATAACCTCCGTAAACTAACTTTAAAACATCCTATTTTCTAACGAAATCAATCAGATCCAGATTAATTGATCTGATGACTTGTGATGATCACTAACATCCTATTTAGTTATGAGTCATGAACACAACTGGACTTGATCAGATTTCAAAATATTAACACTGAATTAAATATGATATATTCACAATTTGAATGATGTTTATTTCATTTCTCCCCCAACCCTTTCATAAAAAAGGGAAAACTGATAGAAAAGATATCTTTAACTAACATTTTGGCAAAAAATAATTAATTATACACCCCCCACCCCCCTATTTATATATATATAAATACTTTACAATAATCCTTTCTTGTACATAAACTGTATAGTTGGTAATATTCACAGGGAATTTATTTAATTTCACTTTATTCGTGGTCACTAAAGACAGCATGAAATTACACTCAGTGAATATTAATACCATGAACTATAATTTCAGTGAATATATTTACAGAAACATACAAAAATCTGTTTACTGTTTGCTGTATAATCAAGATAAAACAATTCACTAGCACATTTTACTATACATGTAATTCTACAAAACGTTTGTAAATTAAATACCATCACCAAAATTACATAACTGCAAACACTACTTGTGATCAAGACAACTGCAAAATTTTAGCATAACTAATTACTATGCTATAGTATAAAGTTTACCTAAAAATAAAAATAACAAATTGATATGAAAAAGTACTGCATTTACACAATTTTACATGAATTCATTTTATTCCCATACTCAGTCAGCTACTGCAAGCAAAGTAATTTATTTTAACATATAATTTGCTCTTTTGTATGTTTTGCAGTATTGCCTTTATTACATTTCAAGACAAGGAGGGCATGATCAAAGCACTGCAAGCAACAGATGGGGACCTTATGATAGACAACAGGTTTGTTAACACTTGTACCCAGGTTTTTTTTACAAATGTATCAAGAAATATTGTGATTATGATGTTGTGTATTTAGATATTCAGCATAGCTGTCAAACCTGCCTCATTTTGACCAAAATTTACCAGGCTCCCTCGAAACTCCTGCATTCGAGTCCAAACTGACACAAACTCAAAATCTACATCCTGTGGTCAGGTGATCTCCTACATACATGTACTGCAGGGTGTTTGTAATGATCATAATTAACAGGTGTGTCTGAATAAAATGAATGTTTTTTAGAGTTATTTTGATTTACATAAAAATGGAAAGATTAATTGAGTAAAGTAGTTTCAGTCACGTTTCACTCACTTTCTCCCTCATTGAAAATATTGAACGCGGGAGATCTCCCTCATTGAAGGTTTCAGTGGTTGACACCTATGATTCAGGATAATGAAATTACAACGTAACATCAAATAAATAAAATGGTATGTTTTAAGTTTAATGAGGTTGTTACTAAGATTTGTTTTTTTGTTGGTTTTGTCATGTTAACGCTTTTCGTTTTGCAGACAGATGCGTGTCGCTCCTGCTGAGGAATCAAAACGAGTGTCGTACTCTGAGGGAAGTGATTGGCAGGCAAGCTTTGCTCCTCCCACTCTGTGTCAATCCTTACCTGTCCTGGCTGATGACAGCAGTACAGGTGTACCAAGCTTTCTTAGTGGTGAACAGGTACCATAAACATACATACTTACTTTATCTTAGCACACAATAAAGTTGTGAGGAGTCACGGTAGGACGCCCGGCTCTTGACCGAAGAGTTGCAGGTTCGGACGCCCGGCTCTTGACCGAAGAGTTGCAGGTTCGAGTCACGTCATGGCACTGTTTTGTATCCTTGAACACGATACTTTACTCCGATTGTTCCATTCTACTCAGCTGTAAATAAGTATGTGGTTGGGCAGTGCTGGAATTGTTGAATGCAAGGTGTGAGTGTCAAAAATAGCAGCACCAGCTGTATGCTTCCCAGGGAGTTGAGAACGTTATTGGCTGGTTGCAAAGGTCCTATACCCACGGATAATAATTTGTGAACCGCTTTGAGACGACCTATGAACTAGGTTGTGATAAAGCAGTATACAACAAACCTCAAATTGTTATTATTATTGTCACTGATGAACCGGCATGCTAAGAACTAAGAAACAATATATGGAAACTTCAATTAGTGCAATAATGGTTCAACATAGTATTTAAGAGTGTGAAAAGCGTTAAAAGAGAGGTTAAGATAAGGGAGGTTTTATCTGTGAGATTTTGTCTCGCGTCATGAAATCTAGCATGTATGTCATTATAAAGGTCAAACATTCACGTAAGTCTTACATGTTTATCAAATTATCCTTTGGTGAAAACACTTGTTTTATTTGTTTAGTGATGTGTGATTTCATTTGTGTTGATCAAAAGGATCCAGCCCATACTGATACATGTATATACTGCTGAAACAGTCTGTCTTTTTCTTAGAGGAAGGAGAATATTTGATATTCAACATATACACAATACAGCTCCAGCACACACACAGGCATACACACATAGTGAGATATTAGCCAAGTGGCATAGGACTAGTAGTTAGCGCCTGATAGGGCAGCTCCTGTGAATTTCTCAAAATTGTATTGATTAATGTATATGCTAATTGTATATCTATGTACTGTAATGCGCTTTAGAGTGGCTTGTTTTAGCTAGATAGAGCGCTATATCAAATGTTGTATATATATAACACTTTATCTGCCTTTGTCCTGCAGGTGGAAATAGCAGTGCCGGATGTATCTTCTCTAGAAATTAACTGCTGTGGGAGGTGTGAGATTGAACGTCTGAATGATGACAGCCTCATTCTCATCTTCTCCTTGTTGTCTGTAAAAGAACGTGTTAGAGTTGAGCGGGTGTGTAGAAGGTGGCGCCACCTAGCTCAAAAATCCTGGAACAGACAAAACAGGCTTCAGTTCCGACACATGTTCCAAGGATTTATGAAAGGTGATGTAGTTTAAGGCCAAACAAATAATATTGTTTGTTTCCGGTTACCCTTAGCTACCTACCCTAACTTTTTGGCTATCCTTAACATTTTTGTGGCAATTATTCAAGTTTTGTCAAGTTAAGTCAAGATTACTCTCCTATATAAACCTTATAAAAATATTGAAAAATAAACTTATTACCTACCTAGCTACTGATCCTAAATTTTTCAGACATGTAACAGGAAACATACATACATTTTTTTGTTTGGCCCTAAAGTATAGTTTAAAGAAAAACAAGACAATACTAAATCATAAAAAAAAATGTAATTCTAACTCAAAGTCAATGAACCTGGGGCAAAATATGACAAAGGCAAGATTTACACTTAGATCATTACCAAGTGCAGGGAGAAAAAGACCAGGCCCTGTATTCATGAAACTATGTCATATGATTAACATCAATTTTATAAATTTTGGTTTGAGCACAAAACCAGGGCTTGAGCAGGAGAATGGTTTCATGACTACGGTTCTAGGTTTTCCAAAGGGGTGAAAGTGAATTTTGTTTCGTCAATAACACCCAGCATGCAAATCAAGGTCAGATCCAAACAAAGTCACAGTGACATTCTCATGGGAAGAAATAGGGAAAACAAGGTCTACGTAGACATGTCGGAGTACATACTATTTTAAATATTTTCTATGATTGTGGTTACTTCCCTTTCATGACAACCATGCTAATGGGTCAGAATTTATGATCTACACTTGATTTTACCCCAAGCTTGAATGTTCTTGCAAAAAACACTGAAACAATTTAAAAAAAAAATCTCCTGAAATATACTTGGTACATTGTTTATTAGGGCCCCGTATCAGAGATACGGGTGCCCTATAGTAATCACTCTGTCTGTCTGTCTGTCTGTCTGTCCGTCCACAAATTTTGTTCCTGGCTGATAACTTTGGTATTTATTGACCGATGTACATGAAACTTGGTGAAGATGTTCAGTTCATAAAAATACACATTGAGGTAAAAAGTCAAGGTCAAAGGTCAAGGTCATTAGGTGCAAAGGTCAAGGTCAAATTTTGCATATTTTCACTGATGAACATTTTGTTATGACATGATGAAGCAAAGTTGATCAGAATTAAACAACGAGTCAACTGACCAAAGGTCAAGGTCATTGGGTTAAAGGGCAGGGTTAAATTTTGTATCTTTTCACTGGTGAACATTTCGCTATGACACTTTGAGGCAATGTTGCTCAGAATTAAACAAGGAGTCAATTGACCAAACGTCAAGGTCACTTGGTCAAAGGTCAAGGTTAAATTTTGTACCTTTTCCCTAATGAACATTTTGTTATGACATTATGAAGCAATGTTGTTCAGAACTTAACACAGAGTCAACTGACCTTAGTTCAAGGTCAAGTTTTGTATTTTTCACTGATGAACATTTTGTTGTGATATTAAGAAGCAAACTTGGTCGGAATTAAAGAATAAGTCAACTGACCAAAGATCAGGGTCACTGGGTTAATGGTCAAGGTCATTTGGGTCCAAAGGTCAAAGACAAAGTGTATCTCTGACTTTGACCCTGGCTCTTGATGGAGGTATATAAGGTGAAATAAAACAAATCAAAGCTAACAAATAAGTATTGCACTGGTAATTACATTTCTGTTAGCCACGCAAATATGGAAGTGGAAGGAAACACATCACATCATAGTACATGTAAATTGTATATTTTGCTTCCTTGCGATTCTTTTTGAAGTCCAAATGTCAAACGTCAAGCTCAGCTATATGAGTAGATTGCTTCTTGATGATTATGGGAGATATAATTGCCACAAGACGGGGCCCTTACTGACCTGTCAGTGTTCTAGTAATAATTGTTTTCGACACATGCTGTAATTGCATAAGGTAACACATGTGTTTAAAAGATCGAGCATACTACGAAGTTTGCTTAATGTAGAATTGCACATTTGACACTAGTTCCATCTATGACCTTATCTATAATTATATGGTCTCTCTGCCCTTATATGGAATTGGATATCTCATATTTTGGGGTTGTTTTACATTCAGGCCTAACCGATGTCATCCTTAACAGTTTATTGCTACGGTGTGGTGTGTACTTGAGGGCGCTGGATCTCTCTGCCTCCCCACAACTCATCACTGACCTATGTGCTGACAGTATTGGTGAGTCTGCCCTCAGTCTGTCCCTATATCATGGCATAACAGGACCTGTTTACTCATACTTTCTATCGTGCCTCCGCCATTTTAGGTCGAAAATGTAGAAGTGTTTACTAGATGGCCACAAAGCTGTCTTTAATAGATGAACAAATCTGGAAGTATCGCGTTTCAAGCAGGATCATAAAAGTATTAACGACTCATCTATTTTCTACCTAACTTTCGTTTTAAAGGTGCCAATTGTCAGAACCTGACAGAGTTGAATTTATCTGGAGCAAGCGTCACAGAAGTGTCTCTGAGGACTATAGCGCAGGCTTGTCCTAAACTCAAGGTAATTTTGCTGGCAACTTTTTCCTTCTTCCATAATAAGGATGCCTGCGCAGCTTGTGGCATTTCTCCAGGTACTCTTGTTTCCTCTCACATCATGAACCTTTGCGTGCTACCATCCAGGCCAACAACAGTAGACAACATTTGCTGGAAAAACTTGTTTCATAATGACGCAGTGGTTTGGGAGGAAACGAGAGTACCTGGAGAAATGCCACATGGTGGGGCAGGTGACCCAATACTTTTTCACGTCCAATCAGGGAATCAAACCCTGGCCGTTTTAGTGAAAGACAAGTGTACTATCAACTGTGCCAACCGATTGCCTTAACCCTTTCACCACTGTAGACCATAATGGACTCGTGCATATCAATGCATGGTCAAGTCTACTAAAGTTACATAGGGGTGAAAGGGTTAAGACAATGTGTGCTGAAACTTAAAAACAATTGAATTTTCGTAGAATTATACTATCTTATCTAAATTATTGCCTCATCTTTATTTTGTCTTACCATGTAAATTTTGTCAACTTTTCATGAGAATTTTGTTCTACTCTCTAGTCTGCTATTGGAAAAACATTGTGATGTGTATTGCTTATTTTGATTTTACAGAACTTTATTCAGGAGAGAAGCTTTTACGTTGGTGACAAAGGGTAAGATAAAGTTTGACTCGAAAACAATTAAGAATAAAAATCACCCTTTATTACTGTTTTGGTAATTACTTCAAAACATATGATAAGTGTTAAATTTTCATTATGCATGTAAATCTTTAGATCATCAAAACCTTCTGAAATAACAAAAATGATAATATATATAATTATATTTTCAATTGATATCTATTAATAAATTAACGTTAATAGTTTACCATATATTTTATGGTGATAAGCCCATGTCTGGTAATAAGCCCACCCCTAATTTTCCTTACTTTCCATGCATATGGTGGGTGCCCGGTAATAAGCCCATCCCCCTTTCTTCAATTTAGCAAGTGTCAGTAAAAAAAATAATTTTGTATTGTGGACATTGTGCATAACAAGTTAAACTTACTAGCGGGGTATGTTGAAAAACACCCTACTATTGACATGTTTTCATGTACATACCCTTGGGCATATTACGGGTAAAATATGATAATTGACATTTTTTGTGTGTGTGCACCTAAGGAGTTACTTTTAATAGTCCTTTTTATGTTGTTGGCAGGTTGACGTGGCTTTTCCAAGGCTGTCAGGAACTGGAGCATGTAGATATACAGGGCAATGCCAGGATAGTAGGAGATGTAAGATGTGAAATATGTAAAACATTTACCAAAGATTGACGTTAAGCATGTCAAATGAATCTCTCCAAGTCCAACAGAAAATTTTGGTCATGATCCATAACTTTGTACTTTTTCACAAACACTTAGTTAATTGATTTTTCTGAAGGTGTGTATCTCTTGACAAGATATGGATTACATATCCCTTAATTAGATATGTACACGTATCCCTACACATATCCCTTAATTAGATATGTACACGTATCCCTACACATATCCCTTATTTAGATATGTACACGTATCCCTACACATATCCCTTATTTAGATATTAACATGAATCCCATGCTGAAATATGTACATGTATCTCCTGTTTAAATATGAGCATGTATCACTCGTTTAAATATGTATTGATATACCCTATTTGGATATGTACACATATCCTGTAGGTCTGCAACGATACATTAACATTACGATACATATCACAATACTGTGGTCACAATATGAAACATATCACGATACATTATTGTCAAAGAAGAAGGGAAGAGAAAAGATCTTGCAATTTTTTTATGGCAATATTACAACTGGAAGTAGAATTTGTCCACAATGGGCCTGACCTTGAAGTTTCACACAATTCACAACTTTCGAAGTGCATGCCGTGCTGGAGCTGTCACCTGCCATGTTTTGGAACGATATGGTAGACAAAACTCAGAAACTCAGAAACGACAAAACTCAGAAACTCAGAAACGACAAAATCCAGAAAATATTGTAGTTGTGTTGTGACCTCCCAAAAAATATTGTGTATCACACCACATTCAAAATATTGCTATATATTGTGGCACCATGTATCATTGCAGCCCTAATATCTAGTTTTGGTAGGGAACATCTATGATTGATTTAATACACTGGTATTGTTTGGTTGCAGTGTTTCCATTCTGTTCCCACCACTGTGAGATACCTCAACCTAGAACACTGTACCAAGGTTAGTATTTAATGCTACTACATGTAACAAAGGTTAGTATTCAATGCTACTACATGTAACAAAGGTTAGTATTTAATGCTACTACATGTAACAAAGGTTTGTATTCAATGCTACTACATGTACCAAGGTTAGTATTTAATGCTACTACATGTACCAAAGGTTAGTATTCAATGCTACTACATGTAACAAAGGTTAGTATTCAATGCTACTACATGTAACAAAGGTTAGTATTCAATGCTACTACATGTAACAAAGGTAAGTAATTTTTTCAGTGTCTCTGCTAGGAGTTGAACCCCTGACCTCTGGCTTATTAGTCTTGCACGTTACTTAATGAGCTAAAAAAAAAATCTCCCTAGCTGGGTCGGTAGGAAGTAGCTAGTATTTCACTAGGGTGACATACTCCCCGTCCAGGAAAAAACTTGTCCAGAGTTTTTCAGGGGGTCAGAGCGATTCTTGTGGAAGTATTGATGAGTATTTTTGTCATAATTTCCAGGGCTCATCTTGGGCACCAATGTAACAGCCGAGCTGAATATGTTTTCACTGTTAATAACAGTCTCTGCTAGGGTTTGAGGAACACAGAACGTCTGGTTTGCTGGTCTTGTACTCTGCGGAATAAGCTAAAGAACAATTCTCTCTAGTAATAATAATATAACAGATTTCAAATCTCTTTTTGAAACAGTTCAAAAAGATATAACTAACCATAAAACCACTTTTACTTTCAAGTTGACGTTTGTCTTTTACCTTTTGGTTCATTTGATGTAATTTTCTCTGGTAAGTTTTATCTACTTTTTATTGGGCAAAAAGACCTCTTTTGTGTTGATGGGCCATTAAGAATGCAATGATAAAATGAAACGGGTTACAATTAATAAACTAATGTAAAACAAAAGGTAGGAATAAGCTAAAACAACCTGCATATAAAAGTAGGGGCCAATCTGTGTGCAAAAGCAATGATCTAGTCTGGACACAAGAAGTTGTGATTCACGTATACGTAAATGCAATTACAGGTATTGTAAACACACATATTTAGCGGTTATCTTATTTTAATACCTTTATGCTTTAGTTATTGGGCTAAATTATGAATTCACCAATTGAAGTTCCTGTATAGTACTCAATCTCAATTGCATATCTTGTGGGTGCACAAATTCATCTATGTGCTAATTTGTTCAAAGTTGATAATGTGCTGAACTTTAAGTGTGCTAAAATCTGCCAGTTTACAGTAAAACCAGCTATCAAAACATGTACAATAGTTAAGTTTGACTGCCATACAATAAGGTAACATATTCGCTGATGGTTTAGTGGTCCGTCTCTAGGTTTTCTTGAAGTCCCGGAATTACTGTGATAAATGTATGTAATGCCAAACCCAAAAACACTTATGCTGTTTTAGAACAGAGTTAACTAGACCATGAAACAGATGATTTTAATCAGATTGTTATGAAACACAGATCTAGAATAAGTATGAAAAATTGACATGAAATTTCAAATCTGGGAAGACTGTAATAGATATTTCTCCTTGTAAACAGTTAAAATGTTTTGAAATACAAATGTTGTACATATTTCAGTATCTTCTTGTTAAATCAGCTCTGATTTCATCCCATTTTAAGACCTCCAACATGTTAACATCTGGGCCAACAATGGTGATGCACATAAGTTGACAGAACCTGTTTCTGAATTAAAAGTAAGGTAATAGAACCAACGTCAGGTGTAGGTTTGTGGGTCGATCAGTGGAGCGCTTCGCTTTGAGTACGGATACCATAAGGTATGCTGGGCGATAACAGAATATAAGCACCTATAAAAAAAATGGATATTACCACAACATACTCAAGCTTCACCGATAAGTGGGGTTTAAAGTTTATTTGGCCAACTGGTTTCGCCTCTAAAATCGAGGCTTCATCAGGACAATTATACACTATTTCAGACACCTAAAGTACTTGCTTGTTGTTTCTTAATTGTTGTAAAATAAATAAAGCTTATGTATATTTTGAAAAGAAAAAAAATGTTAGGATTTAATTAAAATTACCGATAATGTGCAGAATGTGGTAAAAATGTTATCTTGTTTTTTGCTAAACAGCTGACAGATTTGGGAATACGGAAGATTTGTTTGCGATGTAAACACTTGGCGGAATTACATATCAGTCACTGTAAATCTGTGACGGACCAGAGCCTTGTCAACATCACACAGGTAATGTATATAGTAACCTACAATGGAAAAATATTAAACAGCCTTATTACGATTTCAAACCTCCCATAAGAAATTTTATCACAATGAAATGGCAACATATATTGTCTTTCCTATAGAAATAAACCACAGGTTATTTCATTTGCAATTCAACCTAATGTAGGTTCAAATGCAGTAAGCAGAGCATAGCTCAGAGAGGAAATTGTCCTTCACGGCTGTGCTTAGGCCATGCCTATATCACACATGGTTACACTTTATGTAAGGAAGACCAACCTTATTGTCATGCATCAGGCATTTACAGTCATTTCAATTAAAAGAGTGACGGATTTTATAATGTATCATCTGTTAAAAGATTGTTTGTATACAGTGTCTTTGGAGGCACAGTAGTCTAGTGGTAGGACACCGGGCTCATGACCGAAGGGTTGCGGGTTCTAGTCGCAGTACGGCACTGTGTTGTTTCTTTGAGCAAGATACTTTACTTCGCTTGTTCCAGTCTACTCAGCAGTAAATGAGTACGTGGTTGGATAGAGCTAGAATTGTAGAATACTAGTGAGTGCCAAAATGGCAGCACTGGCTGTATGCTCCCCAGGGAGTTGAGAAAGATATTGGCTGGTTGTAAAGGCCCTATACCCACGGATAATAATTTGTGAACCGCTTTGAGAGCCCCTACAAACTAGTTTGTGATAAAGAGGTATATTAGAACCTCAGATTATTATTATTATTTATTTGAATAATATATGATTATTTACACTCGGTTGATTTTTAGCCCGCCATCATCAAATGCTGTTGCTCTGGCCTGCAGGCTTTTTCGTGTTTTTTTCATTCCGGATGAAGACACTAACTTAATTTCCAACCAATGTTTGAAGGAAGATTGGCTGTTGACATACGTTTTAGGATTACGCTGTCGATTATTTTCAGATTCTTAAAAGGTTAAAGGTCCTACACATGGAAGGCAGTTATTCACAAAGTAAGTTTTTTTCTTTCTCCTAGCTGTTTACTGGTATGATGCTTTTTTAATGAATGGTAGAAAGCTTAATGTTTTACTTTAATCCATCCACCCCTATAGTCATATTTAAACTATACCAAATCAAAGACTGGGCAAGTCCAGTTTAAGTATGTAGGGGTGAATGAGTGAATGGTCTTTATGTATATATGTCTTGTACTAGTTTAGAATTGTCAGGTCATACTTGGAGGCTTGTTACATATTTCTATAGTAATATACTATCTCTTCTGTTACGAGATACAAACATTAACCCTTTACTCCCAGGTTACTTTTGTAGACTCTACCATGCATTTATAGGGATGAGTCCATTATGGTGTACAGTGGTGAAAGGGTTAGGCCAAAAGAAATAGTATGTTTCAGGTAAATATCTGAAAGAAATAGGGTAAGTTGGTTGGGATTTGTTTTAGGGGGTGGGGCGCTAATTTCATAAATTACAAAAATTACCAAAACTGTTGGGTTTTTTTTGAAACTTTTATGTCTTTTTCCAGTTACAAGTTCTGGTCTGAAAAGAATTGGACAACTGGTTTGTTTGGTGAGTACTGTGTTGCACTTATCTCTGTCTGTTAATCCATCAAGGCAATATCAGAAATAGTTTTGAAGTCAAATTATGCCTTTCCAAAGTGTTAACATAGATCTATATTTTAGGCAATCTTAAATGAATTGGTTCAGTGCCAGTTGATTCTTCATTAAATAATTTCAAGCTCAATAATCATAATTATTGTTGAAACATATGGATTCTAATTTTTGCCCCTGCTATTTTATGAGGAGGGGGGAGGGGGCATATACATATAGAGTTACTCATGTCCATCTCTTCCCATTCTGTCGCAATTCATTGTCAAGACTCTACCAACTTCATTCCTTAACAGATTTTCATCAAATATTAAACTTAAGTCAAATATAAGATCACTATAGATAAGTTTGTATTTCAGGGTCCCAACATCAACACAAAGATCACTCCTAGTATTTATAGGTCAACCCCAGGACCAAGACGCTAGGGCATTCATGTCTTACAAAGTTTTCCAGTAAAAATAATTCATTTAAATACAATTTTATAATAAGTTAAAAGTTTATCACTCTTTATAAATTAAACTGTGTTTGGTTTATATATGCCCATTAAAAGAGTCCAGGGACGAATTATATATAATTATGTTATTGTGTGGGTGAGTGGGCACACATATTGTTCGCTTGATATATCAAGTAATTTTCAACAGATTAAATTCAAACTTCATGGGAAGGTTAATTACCAAGAAAACCTGGACATGTCTGATAACCTCCATTATTCACCAGGAATTTTCTGAGTTATGCCCATTTAATCAATTGCTAAGACAGTTACTGCTCGATATCTCAAGTAATTTTCAACATATTAAATTCAAACTTCATGAAAAGGTTAACAGCTATGAAAGCTCAGACCACTGTTATTAAACAGTAATTTAGGGAGTTATGTCCCTTTATTCAATTCAATGTATGACATGCATATTTTATACTGCTTTGCGGTAACCTTGTTTGATATTTGATAAAAAATCTCATTGTTTTGTATTCACAGCATTGTCAATAAGACCCGGCACCCCATAATTTGTATTCAGGTACTATGCCATTTCTGACATGACACTAATACCTGTCACTAGCTATACATTTTAACTTGGGAAGTCTTTGAATGCCTCCTACTTTTTCTAAAATTTTCCCTTTCCCCAGGACTGATTTAGCTAGTAATTTCACCATCTGTTTCAGAAAGAATTAAGTTTCGCCCAGAATTCTGCTGTGGATGATGATGTCTTAAGTCAGTGTGCTGTAGGATGTTCCAATCTTACGTAAGTGCAGGTCTAACGATATCCACGAAACTTCAAAGGTTACGCTCACTTACGTTTTCTGCATCCCAGGAATATGTTGATTGGTTTAAGATCAAAGAAACTGACCAATCAGTAGGCTGATACCTCTCCATTCAAGATTACAATGCTATTTGATTGGTTTCAGGTAAAACAAACAGACCATTGGCTAAGCTGATACCTGTCCTTTGAAAATTACTTGTAGGGGTCAAAATTAACTTTTTTAATCAGTAGCAAATCACTGCAAGTGCCTAAAATGCCTGCTAGCAAAATTCATGTAGCAGTATTTTTGGCCAAAAATTAGAAAATTAAATTTACATGGATTATGAATTAGCAATTTAGACGTGAAAGAACTAAATTTTTGCTGTTTATTTCACAGAAATTTATTGGCATATCAAGTGTCAGTTATTACAGCATATTGAGTAACAACAAGTAAATGTATTTTGTTAAACAAACAGCAAAAAACACTATTAGATGAGTGATATATTCCAATTTAAAACATTAATACTCTTTGTCACAAAACCAGTACATAGGTTATGCTGAAGAAGGAATCTTTTCCTTTATGGCAGTGTATGCATTGCACACAAAAAATGCATTTTTTTTTTAATATTTCTGATGTTTGAAACAAAATAAAACTTGCCCCTGGTGAGAAACATTTTTAAACAAATGGTTTAAAAATTGATGTCAAGTCATCTGTCAAAAATTGTTTTTTTTTGTTCTGTTTAATTGAATTTTATTTTTTTCAGTAATGTTAATATCTCTGGCTGTTACAAACATGTGACTGACCTTGGTATTCAGGCCTTGGCGAGGTGTTCTGATCTGTCTCACCTGAACATCAGTTACCTGTCACAGGTAAGTCATACCTGTACATATATATAGGTACAGACAGGTGTTCTGTCTCACCTCAACATCGGTTACCTGTCACAGGTAAGTCATACCTGTACAGATATATAGGTACAGACAGGTGTTCTGTCTCACCTCAACATCAGTTACCTGTCACAGGTAAGTCATACCTGTACAAATATATAGGTACAGACAGGTGTTCTGTCTCACCTCAACATCAGTTACCTGTCACAGGTAAGTCATACCTGTACAGATTTATAGGTACAGTTAGGTGTTCTGTCTCACCTTAACATCAGTTACCTGTCACAGGTAAGTCATATCTGTACAGATATATAGGTACAGACATACCTGTACCTATATATAGGTACAGACAGGTGTTCTGTCTCACCTCAACATCAGTTACCTGTCACAGGTAAGTCATACCTGTACAGATATATAGGTACAGACAGCTGTTCTGTTCCACTTCAACATCAGTTACCTGTCACAGGTAAGTAATACCATTGATTTCAGATTGTTATATTTTGAGCAGAGCTACCTGGTCAGTGTAAGTTTTCTGGCCCATTTGAACTACATTTGTATAAAAAAAGGGGGGGGAGGTTACTCTATATACATTAAAATACAGTGGAGTTCTTCTGTGTTTTGCCTGCAGTGGGTGGGACAGGGATCCTCAATAAATATGTGTTGGTAATTGTTGCTATAGGTCAGCGAGGACAGTGTGGAGGGACTGGCCACTACTGGAAGGCTAACGACACTGGTGGCCCGCGTCTGTTCTGCGATTTCTGATGAAGGTAAATATCACTATAAAACCATACTGTTTAATGATTTAATCTGTGACTTTTCAAGTTAACAGCAAAACTGGTTTATCGGGTACTTCTTCAAAGACTTCAAGCCAATTCACATGACTGTTCTTTCATACTATATATATAGTAGTCTATCTTCATTGTCTTGTGTACACAAAGCCCTCTGTTGCATTTTTAGCTTACCTGGCCCGAAGTGCCAAGTGATGAGCTTATGGCATACCGCAGCGTCTGTCGTCCATCGTCCGTTGTCCGTCAACTTTTTTACATTTTAATCTTCTTCTACAAAACTTCTGGGCCAATTTTGACCAAATTCGACATGGAACATCACTAGGACATGGGGAACTGAAGTTATGAAATTTATGGGGCAATGCCCCCAGGGGCCTGAGGGGCGGGGCCAAATAGGTAAAAAAATGGAGTCATCTTTAATAATCTTCTTCTCTACTCCTACAAGTAGTAGAGAGTAATGGTACATTTAATTATAATCATCAACTAGCCCTCTTTTGAATTTATGAAATTTATGGCCCTGGGGTCAAGGAGTCAAGAGGTAGGGTGGGTCAATATTGTGTACTTGATATGTAATTATGTATTTATACATCTAATTTTCTTCTTCAAAGCTTCTGGGCCAATTTTGACAGGGAACATTACTAGGACGTGGGGATCTGATTTTATGAAATTCATGGGACTGCACTCCCAGGGGCCTGAGGGGGGGGGGGGCGACAAATAGGTAAAAAATTCAAGTAGCAGAGAGTTATGGCACATTTAATTATAATCATCAACTAGCTCTCGTTTCAATTGATGAAATTTATGGCTCTGGGGTCAAGTGTTAGGGTGGGGTCAATATTGTATGTTATGGATCGTTGTATCTTTGAAACAGTTGAGATCCCCTCGCCATAACCATATATAGTATTGCTGGGCATCAAGAGATAAACACAATCATGATGTAAAAATAGGCCCTGGGTTTTTTCCCTACCCCTAGGGACTTAGTTTCTGGGTTATATCTTTGAAACCGTTGAGATCCCCTACCGATAATCATATATATCATTGCTGGGCATCAAGAGATAAACACAAGCATGATGTAAAAATAGGCCCTCAGATCTTTCCCCCACCCCAAGGGACTTAGTTTCTGGGTTATATCTATGAAGCAGTTGAGATCCCAACCCCGTAACCATATATAGCATTGCTAGGCATCAAGAGATAAATACAATCATGATGTAAAAATAGCCCCTGGGGTCTTTCCCCATCCCTAGGGACTTAGTTTCTGAGTTATATCTTTGAAGCAGTTGAGATCTCCACCCTATAACCATATATACAATTGCTGAGAATAAGAAAACGAATGTACATATGCTTCCAGGATGGCCCTGGTGTGTCCCCCACCCTTGGAGACTTGACCCATGGGTCATAACTTCGAAGTGATATTACAATTGATCCTGGGGTCTTGCCACAACCCTAGGGACCTAGTTTCTGAGTCACAGCTTGGAAATAGTTGAGATCCTGACCCCATAACCATACATAACATTGCTGGGCATGAAAAATCTAATAAAGATATGCTACAAGGATTGGCTTAGGTGTCTGGCCCATTCACTTGGACATTATTTGGAGAATATTTTGCCATGATTGCTTAGATATCCAGGTGAGCGATACAAGCCCTCTAAGCCTCTTGTTAAATTAATCTCAAATTCTTATGAATCAATTTTTGATATATATACGTATTAGACTTAAGGGGTGAATGGATTAGATAATATCTATAAAGTTTGTCAACACATTACCATATCAGCCATGATGACACTTGCTGACCTCTGCTATGACCTTAACCTCGTTGACGTCAGTGGGTGCTTTGACATCAGTAACCATAGCGTGGAGCGGTTTATAGCTACACATACGGGCGAGAACTCAACACCTCTCAATCTTGTCCTTGGCGGTAAGTTCTGTGTTTCATGAAAAATTGTTTAGAAGTTTATTTGAAAACATGGAAATCAATACGGAAATATGATTTGTTTTTACCAAATGTTTTTAGTCGGTAAGATGTTGAAGTATAGACCTATCTATGTAAGTACCATATAAATTTCAATAGGAAGCTTTTACCTTGACCTCCTTTCTAAGGAGGTAAAATGGAGACCAGGATTTTTCTGTAATATAACCTTGTGATCTTGAAGTGTCCCCAATAAATCAGGAAATTTTCAGTCCATACAACCAGTGATTATTAAATTATAGGTGCCTCAAAACTTATTTCGAACCCACAGTGAATCTAAGTACCGTGAATTTGCACGTATGGTGCACACTTTTTTAGGTAAATATTGTCATGTCAAAAAGGGGTGCACACTATACGCAGGAACAAGTCATTCTTGGGTTATCGTTCTCGATTTTCAGGTCGGCCATATTGGATTACTTCCCTTCAAATAGTTTTGTTTGGAGTCGTCGGTCTTATATGATCAGATTGAAGATTAAAAAACAACCAAGAATGTAATTCTTTTGCGACACAATTTTAACCTACTATACCCGAGTGCGCACTATACCCGCAAATTTACATGTGAACATAGAGTTAATACTTAGGATGTATCATATAGTTGTTTTCTGTACAACTAGAGGCACAATTTACCAATTGTGAATTACAATGTCTTGTATCTGAATGGGAATTAGAATTTATTTTAAATGTGTCAACAATGCAATAATTGCCCCAAATGTTGTAAATGTCCATATTTTATCTATGGCCAGTTTCTATTGATTGTTCATCGTTAATATTCCAGGTGTGACACTCACATACGCTCTCTGCACCCCTGGAATATTTCATGACAAAATTGAAGGCTCAGTGTGCACCTTCTTGTGAATGTGACAAGAAAACTAGTTTGATCCTTTGATGTACAAAATAAAATTGACAGGCTTTGAAGTCGGGTGTCAATCACTCCTCTGTAATGTTCAAAGGACAGATATTTACCTGAGACCAATCAAGTACCTGGCCGCGTGCCTTCCGTTTTGCTATGACATATTCCAGGGGTGCAGCAATATGTAAGTGAGCTAGGGTAATTTTTGGGTTATCGAGGATGTGTTTATTGCGATTTGTTCCTACACAGGTACGTCTGTAGAACGAGAACACCTGGACACCACGGGTAGCAGTATTACTATCAACATGTACAACCTGTCAATGCTCCATCTCAAGGCAGACCGCGAGATCATGTTACGTCCAGGTAAGACATCTCTAACATTATTCACCTCATACCCTCATTTGTTAGGGGGGGGGGAGTGTGCTGGAATCAACTTGTCTGTCTGTCACAGATAAAATCTTGTCTGAATAACTCCTCCAAATAAGTGTCCCAATTACTATTTGTAGAAAATTGTTGTCAGCGCTCTAGCAAATTTGTTGCCGCATCGATTTTGACCTAAGTCATACCTTGGTTAGGTATAACAATGCCTGTTTCTCAAAGGAGTTTTACGTAGTAAGGAAGTGTAAGAATACCTCACACAAGTTTCCTGCTGTTGTTAGAGTGAGATGTATCAAGGTACTGTTCAGCATAAAATCTCGATACACATGTCCTGAAAGACCATGAGATTCATAGTCAAATTCCTGTACAAGCCCTTTACCGAAACTTGACCATGTACGGGGAAAATTATAATCTGTATTATGGAAACTTTTAACATGTACGGGAAAAATTATATACAAATTGTAAATTGTCTGAACAGCACTGTACTACAGAAATAATACATGTCTTTCAACATGCATGCCAAACTGGAGCTGTCACTTGCCATGTCAGAACAGCTATGAGTAGACTAAATTCAGAAGAAGAAAAAAATCGTAGGTGTATCGTAACCTCCAAATTCGTATTGTGTATTGTACCATATTAAAAACATCGCAGCCCTAGTATAAATACACTAATAACATGATTTTACAATAGACAGCAGCAGTGAGGAAGATGATAATGAAGATGAAAGCGAGGCTGTATCGCCAGAGGTGAAACACAATCAGTCTGTAATGGCCGCTGGGGCAGAGATCATGTCCGACACCGAATGGGACGATCATGACCTGGACGGGCTAGAATGTGATGACTACCTAATTGGGGATGATCCCCTAGAGGAAGAGAGGTGGTCAATGTCCTGAATACTGACCGCTACATGTCCGACACGGAATGGGACAATAATGAACTGGACGGGCTAGAATGTGATGACTTCCTCACTGGGGACGATCCCCTAGAGGAAGAGAGGTGGTCAATGTCCTGAATACTGACCGCTACATGTCCGACACAGAATGGGACGATAATGACCTTGACCGGCTAGAATGTGATGTCTACCTTATTGGAGACGATCCCCTAGAGGAAGCGATGTGGTACATGACCAAAACACTGTCTGACTGCTACCACCCCAAAAAGGAGAGAGGTCAGTCTCTGGACGTCCCCGAGCTCAAGTCAAAGTTCGGACCATTAGCTGACTACTGCAACCTCTCCCTCACCTCATCAAAAGGGGAGCTGGTCATATAGATATCCCGAGAAAGATTGAGGTGAATGTCCAAATATCCAGAGATATATTGGCTACAGAGAATGCTTCTCTGAATACTGTACATGTACATGTAGATGTTTTGCCCTGGGAAGCCATTTTTTCTGATATGCATTGCATATATTAACAGTGAGGTGAAATATTTTATATTTGACTATAAAGATATTTTGTTATATTTACATATATACTACAGAGAGTACATGTCTCTGAACACCGTATATTTCTCCTCTGGGAAGTTATTTTTCCGATATGCATTGCATATATAAACAATAAGGTGAAATATTTGTTTGATTATGAACATATTTTGTTTTATTTTATGAAATAAAAAGATTTTTTTAATGAACTTGTAAAGTATGGGCTTTAGTTTTCCCATGAAATACAAGTTGTAATATTTAAGAATAAATTGTTGGACTCATAAGTATGTTTGTTTGGAGCAATATTTAAAAATCAAGTCGGCCATCTAAATAGGATTGTTAAATTAGATGAAATGAAAATAACAAAGATTTTTATATAATTAAACTTTATTATTTTTAATGACTTGGCTGACTAATAAAACAATGAGTAATTAAATACTAATGATCTAGTTTAACCCTTTCACCCCTATGTAACTTTAGTAGACTCTACCATGCATTGATCTGGGTAAGTCCATTATGATCTACAGTGATGAAAGGGATAAAATCTTGATAATAATTGTGGGACATACATCACCACAAACATATGCTTATCATATTTTGCCTCAAATTGCCAGGTGATAGTGCTGAGATTAGGAAGTGATATAATTACATTTAATTACCTGGAACCATGCGATAAAAATTCTACAAGGTATTTTAGAACATACCAATCAACAATTCTCAGCGCATGATTCATTAGGTGAAAAGAGATCAGTTAAGTTTGAAATAAAAATATCATATTGAAAAATAATCTATCAGTTTGTAACATTTTTTCAAGGGGGGTGCAATGGCCAGGTAGATAATGTGTCTGTCTACAATCACTAGACCTACACCACTGGGTCACAGGTCCGAGGCCTACGTGGTCAGTAGAGTTTAAATTTTAGTTTACAAATTGTACTTTGGGAAAAGTATCGTGTTTTCATATATGTAATCATTCACCATCATATAATCGAAAATGACCCTGGTCAAAAAGAAAACAAAAAATAATGAAAAAGTTACAGTTTCTTGTTCAGCTTTTAACCTATCTCTATAAGTATGTACTATTACATATCAGGTAACATGTATGTTAAAATCAAAACTCCTCCGCAGTGAAATCAAAACAATCAAAAAGTACAATCCCATCAAAGTCACATTCAAGGACAAATGATAAACTTGTTACAAAATGATAATTAAACACAAAGGTAAACATGATTGCAGTTACTGGAAAATATATTGATGTTTACTGTATGTTTACATCCATGCAAAACATCAAATGCGTAAAGCAAACATACGTAAATGGTTGGTAGTAATATATTAGTTAAACAAAGCCCAAAGTTTCTATAAATATAAAATTCCAAAACTTCTGTAAAAAAATATTACATTCATCTACCATTTATAACCTCTCATAAAAAAATATATTGCATATTTATTTTAAAAATAATATTGAGGTGTTCTGAGGCCAAACTTAAACAACATTAACAGAAAGTAGTAACCATAGAAAAATCACTAGAATGGTACAAATATTCATTGAGCTCTGAAATAAAACTGTTACTTTCATTGAGCAGTCTTTTTAAGCATGACAACGGTTTTATCCCTTGCCCTATCAAAAATTTGAAAAAGAAAAAAAACAGTTGTCTATATCACTTTGAGGTAAAAAGAAAGATTTTGTCTACCATATTTGGTCTCTTAGAATTATGAATTTCACAAGATATTACATCACCCCTGAGATTTCATAATGAATTATTCCAACCTTTAAATTGGAAGAGTTCAAATGTGTCTTCAGGGGTGAATGAGTTTAGAAGACTTCAATTTCCGACCAGTTTTAACGTACAGGATAAACTACAGTTGTACATCAAATTGATGAAATCTGTCTAATTCTTCATCAGAGTAAATTGTTCATTTTTGGACCAGAATATTTTCATTTCTATAAACAGAAAAATATATAACTCAGGTAGACAACGAAAAGAGGACTCAAACTTAAGGATCCCTGTCCGACCTCACTACCGTTTTTCCTATACACAGTAATGTCCCCTTAACTTCTGTATAGATATAACTGTAGCACAGTTAGGCCACAATAATCCGATGTCCAAGTAGCTCGATCGGTTAGAGCGATGGTACAGCAAACTGATGTCCAGGGTTCGAATCCCGGTCTAGCGCCACAGATTGTTTTACACTCGGAACATTTATTTCTCATAAAAGTCCAACAAGGTATGCTTTCCTTTTCAAAAATGATTTATCAAAACTACATGTAAAGTCGTGCTGTTTCGAATAATTAGTTACTGTTTTTGGCGATGGTACGGGGATCCTTAAATTACACTGTCAGAAATTAATATAAAAAATATCTCTCTCTCTCTATATATATAGTATAATTGTAAACATTGAATGAATAGATAGTCACACACAAGTAATAGAAATAGAATTTGTTAAAAATTAATAAAGTATAGATAAATAATGTTAAAATCTTAATTAATAATTAGACTAGGTAACGAGACAGATGCGTTGAAAACAAAGCAACAGGTGCCCATCAAACAATGTGATACGGATATACAGGTAAAATGTTAACACTGAGGAATTTTATTTCGGTGAAAAAGTGGTTATATGGACTTGAAAAAGTGATATTGACCCTGACATTGTCTCAGTTAATAAATCACTTTCTCAAAAAAAAAAATCTAATTATTCACCTCAACGAAAGTCAATAATTGTTAATTTAATAACTTCAGATATACATATGTAGGTTATATTGAATTTGAAACAGATTTGTTATATATATATTAACGTACATAACTTATGTAAATCGGTATGGATTTTCTAACACAAAAAAATGTTCAAGTGCTAAATCCCACAACATAAATGAAAAAAAAATAAAAAAAATATTAAGCAGGTGTCAGAGTTTGATATTATCAACCATCTGCATATTTTTTTTGTCCGTGTGCTAAAAACAAATTCAAAATTCAATCTCAAAGCTGAAAAATCCAACAAAACTCTCAATAATTTGCAAAAAGCTTATAGCAAGGAAAACTCTGAAGATTCTCAAGGGAGCCATATTTATATTAATGAAACTGATGTAAGTATAGTAATACCATTGAAAAATTGTAGATTGAGTAAATATAGCACACTATAAATTCATGCTCAGCATTACTTCACATTTACTTAAATTTATTATTCAATCTAAGAAAGCACTATATTTAAGTTAACTAAGAATTTAAACTATAACTTTTTTCCCCCTACACAATGGGTTTTATGGTACCATTGAAATCCTACATGAGATATTGCTCAGATCCCCTTAAATCTCAATAATGAGCCCGATTTAAAATTAGGTCAGCTTTGAAATTAAGACTGCAATTCCAAGCAGCCAAATATATATCTCGATAATAAGCTGGAATGAAAAAAAAAAAAAAAAATCTATTTGGTACCTTTCATTTTAACTTTAAAAACCGCTACTGTTAAAATGGTCATTTTATCTACAAATAAATATGGATCAACCTAAACAGCAGGCATTCTATCAAGACGATTGGACGATGTCTTCAAGGTCAAGGGTACCACTGCATTTGTTAAAATCATAAAGAAGAGTTCCACTTTGGATTTATTTCGACTTGGAGTGTTCTCCCTTTAATACAGAACATGCAGCAATCAAATGGTGTTTGTTTTAGAGTAACTTCACCTGTCAATGTTTTTTTTCTTTCCATAAACTTTTCACCCCATTAATTGGACACTCATTTTAATTGTGTACCTATATGATTGCTTCGCAGAGTTGGATGCAATAGCCAGAATTTTTTCGTTTTGTTATTGTTTATTTTCTATTTTCAAATTTCAAACAAGTACATTTCTGTAAAATGTATTTAATGCAACATATGATTTTTATGGAACCCTTCTTTTGAAAAAAGTCTTTAACAAATATTTAACAATAGTGACAGTGGTAGAATTGTTAAGGCCTAGTTGTAGTGGATTTATTTGGCTTTAATGATGCTCTACCTATCTGATATTGAAAAACCTAAACAGTAAACTAATATTACATTGAGACAATCATTACGATGCTGTACTTGCAAGATTAGACAAGATCAGGCATCAACATTTCGATATCTGATCGCGAATATCCAGCTTTTTTCACAACAAATATCGTTCATTGTCAATATCCCGTAACATTAATCCTTCATTTGTATCCGTCATATTTGATGGGTGGGAAATGGTCGTTTCGGATTGGCTCTTCATAGTGAGGCGGGTTGTACAGTCCCCATTTGGGCATGGGGACCTCCATGGGGTATGGCTGTTTAAAAGTGAACCTGCCCTGGTAGGACTTGTTGTGGGACATCGGGCGTAGGACGTCCTTCTGCATCACCTCGTTTGTGTAGGATATAAAGTCGTCGTGCGTTCGACTCGTGGGCTTGGAAGGGCGTTCGTAGTGCCAATTCACCTTCTTGTAGTCGGCTGTGGAACAAGGTAAATGAGATCAGGAAACGGAGTCGGCAATTCTGGTTTTAGAAGATTTAATAATGTACTACCAAATACTATTTTATTATCATGAAAACTTTACATAAAGATGAATTACGCAAGGGTAATGAACCAGTGTCAAGGAATGTGTACATCCAGATACTTGTATAAAAGAGAACAATGTTCTCATAGACACATTCTTCCTCCAAAGGATTTGGGGTGTTATGGGTCATTGTTGGCCTCATATATTTACAAATATCTGTTATAAACATCATATTGTTTAATTGGGGCTATCTTTCTTGTTGGATTTTTTTTCCAATGCGCATGTGTAGTTGCCCTACCATAGCAACAAAGTTGTGTTGCTATGCTGAAATAGCCAATATATGACGTTTTTGGAGAGTTAGCATGCAGAAATGAAAGCCTCTGCATGTGACAAACAAAAATTCCTTTCTACGAATGAACACTGGTATGACAATGTTTAAGCATGTCAAATATTAGTTTGTTTGTTGCATGTGGAGGCTTTCAAAAATTGAAGAGAGTTTAGTTGATTTCCTTCAAAATGGCCAATTTTCAACCAAAAAGACGCACAACAGAAGATATTTACACATTTTATTGTGAAAATGCGGGTTTATGTCTCTCTTTGTAATGCTATATCTCCTAAACCAGTTGTCCAATGAATTTGAAATTTCATATTTTGCGTACTTCATATATTCCAGATAACGAATATAACAACTGATTCTAAATCCATGATGAGGCTGGAAATGACCTTTAACGCCCCTAGTCCTTTCAGAGGTTACGCTGACTAAAGACTTCTCTTCACCTGGAATATGTCATGACAAAATTACAGCTCTGTATGTGGATGATTCAATTAGACTTGTTTCATCCTTTGATGTACATCAAAAGAATCACGCTACAGCATAATGGTAAAATTGACCGGCTTTGAAGTCAAGTCAGCCTAGCAATTGGTCAGTTCAGATTTTTATATCTGAAACTATTCAAATTGCCAACTGTTTATGTTTATTTTGTCATGACATATTCCAGGGGTAAAGAGAACATAAGTTCTCATGCTCAAGCATGGATTCTGTGCTCAAACCAACTTTCCTGTATGTAACTCACTTAAATCATGTCGAACCATCAAAACGTCAATTGTAAACATTGAAAACAGTATTCGGCTTGGAGTCTCTTCACATTTCTTTTCCAAATCAATGATATAATAAGATATTTTTGACAATTTGTAAGCGGAACAAGAAATTAGGCTTGAGCACAAAATCCATGCTTGAGCAGAGAACAATAAGGGCGATGGTGTCTGGTGTAATACAGTTTTCAGTAAAAGACACAGCATTACCCTATTTACATATGCTGTCTAACTATTACACAGCAATTAGTGTGTGGTGTCGAGTAAGACAAACTCACATCTCCTGATGGTGTTGATGTTCCTATTGAACCAGTCAGGGTGTTGCGAGGACGACTTCTTGGCATACCAGTCTGGGTGTGGACCGCCCCATTTCTGCCAGCCTTTCTGTCAACAGGATTGATAAATTTTGTGGTATGTTATATTTACGAGAATTTAAAATCCGAGTGGTCAGGTGGCACAGTGGATGGTGTCGGGACAATTTGGGGTCGACTCCCCAATCGGACATGGAAAATCTATTGGGTTACCCCCTGACTATAGATAAGTTTCCTTTGGGTACTCTGTTTGCAAAACATAATGAAATTCTCTAAAAATTTTCTGTCCACCAAAAACGTTTTAATGGCTTCGGTTCTACTTCACTGACCACTGAAAAAGTATTTGGTCACCTGCCACTGAATGTTAGAAGTGGAATTTTTTGTTTGAGAACTTCTAAATATTAGAAGCTAAATTCTTTGATAAAAACATGAGCTCTTCCAAAAAAATCCATTTTTGATGCGTCAATGGTTTTGCATTAGGTGACCTCTGACATACTTGTAGGTAATTTCAATGTGATTTTAACTTTGATTTGGAACATCTTTCCAAAGAAAATTTGTTTTCAGATAATTCTTTCTTAAACTACCAACCAAGTGTATTTTATTTGGTTTCAAAACAACAAATACATACATTTCCATTTGACTTGGGGACACTTAACCCATTCACCCCTAAAATCACATTTGACCCTTACCAAATCAAAGCCTGGGCAAGTCCAGTTTAAATAGGTCGGGGTGAATGAGTTAAGAAGAGTTAAATCAACCAAGAGGTTAATTTACATTTAATGTGAAAAACAAGTATACTTCTTAAAAATGCTTACTTTCACCAATAGTTTTGGTGCCTCAAGTGGAGCATTGTTAAAATATACGCCGCAGTGTTACTGTGCTACTATAACTGAGCATGTGGTGTCCAAAAAAAAAAGTGTGTCGAAATTTTACTGTCCCAACTCTGTGAAATATGCAGATATACTGTACAAGATAAACAACTTGTGACCAACCTGATATCTTGCATCAATTAATTATAAGCAATTATATGACAAAATTGACTCAACTCATTTACACCTGAAGACACATTTGAACTCTTCCAATTCAAAGGTTGGAATAGTTCATTATGAAATGTCAGGGGTGAATAATTAATGACTCACATGAGCTACGTCTGGACTGCTGGAGTGGTACCGTTTCCATGAGTAGAGATCAGCCTGCCTGTTAGTGGAAATAAAACGGGTTATAGAAAATAATATCATTCATTAGTTCAGTGATCCCCCCCCC